CCCCCTCTCTCCCTCTCTCCTTCACAGGTCTTGGAGTCGTTTTGTGCTTGTGGTTTTGGAATCTGTTTTTCCCTCACTTACGAGCTTATTCTATTTCCAGGATAAGCATTTCTACCGAGTCATTCTTGCGCCTGGGTTTATCAGCAGATCGTAGTGGCCCCAGACCGGCAGTGGTCTACTGGTTCTGTAGCTACAGGTTTATTGACACACAACCCTATATCCTGCCAGTGACGGCTGCTTTTGGATTAGAATTCAGTTAGCAGTGGAGAAGTTATGGTTGGTGGAGCCTGGAATATTCATTTTCTGGCTCTGATCAGAAGCTGCTGACCCTGGGCTAGGCCAGCAGTGTGCGCAGTGCCATCCGGGGCTCCCAGCAGGTGCTGCGCGGTGTTATCCGATGGTCTCACTCCCCGACCTGCGCTGTTTTCTACTTTGCTTTTCTCATGCGTTAACAGGGCACGTTCCAATGCTGTGTGACCTGGGTCCACCTTGTTACTCTGACGCTAATGGAAAGTTTCTTCTTTTTATTTTCAATCTAGTAAATAGTAATGAACTATTTCATCACTACTAGTGAGGAAAATCTGAGGTCCTTAACAACTTTTCAGAAGAGAAAGGAGTCTTGAGACCGAAGCGCTTAAGAACTGCTTGTCTAAATGCGTGGCACATGACCTATGTCCCATGGCCGGGAAGCCCGAGTGTCCGAAGGGTTTTAGAGACTGCTGTGTTGAGATGGGGCTTCGGCAGCGACAAGTTCCTTCTCTCGTCCTGAGGCTGTGGAGGGCCAGCAGCTCCGGCCAGGCGTGGGGCCTCGCTACTGCCCAAGTCCCTCGTGTGGGTGGAAGGCTGTAGTGCTGTGATGAGTGAGGGCTGTGGGGTGCTAGACGCTCGCACACCCCATCGGAGAGACCCAGCCCAGCTGCGTGGGTGGGTTCTGTCTGCATTTGCCTGAACACGGGGCTCGGCAAGTGTGGGTGTCTGAGGTGGGGAGCTGGCTTCTCTGGCTTCTGAGGTCAAGGTTTTCCCCACCACAGGGGCTTGGGGTCGTCTTGGTAGGGAGAGAGCTTCTCTTCTGCGGTAGCTTGAAACTGGTCCCAGGGACAGGAAGTCAGGAAGGCCTGGAGTAGGCCTGCTTAGGGTTGCCTTTCCACTGCCGAGTTGTCACTGTGATCAGGACCAGTGAGTTTAATGACATCAAAGGGAATATTGAGAAAGGGGAACAATAGGATATGATCCAGCCATTCTACTTTCAGGTCTGCTTCCTAAAGGTTTGAAGACAGTGTCTCAGATAGTTACTGGTGCCCAGTGCTTGCAGTGACATTGTCCACCTCCAGCCACGAGGTGGAGCCAGCCACACAAGGCTCATCCACAAAGCAGAGTATTATTCAGCCAGAAAAAAGAGTGAGATTCTGGTGTGTGATCTAACATGGGGAGATCTTGAAAGGATGCCAAGGAAAATAAGCCAGACACAGAGGGGCAAGTACTGTAATTTCACTTATTTGAAGCACACAGAATAGGCAAGTTCACAGAGACAGGAAGAGGAGTGGAAGTTATCATGAGAGACCTGGGGTGGGGAGGGAAACAGGAAGTTATTTTATTTAATTTCAGTTTTTGTCTTTTTGAGACAGGGTCTCACTACGCAGCTCAGCCTGGCCTTGAGCTTGCTTTGTACCAGGGTGGTCTCAAGCTTGCAACGATCCTCCTGCCTCAGCCTCCTGCGTGGGGGAGTTACTGTTTAATGGACACTGTCTTAGACATTTTGCGATTGGTGAGACACCGTACCCAGCACCGCAGCTCAGAGGAGGACAGGTTTAGTTTAGCTTGTGTTTGTGAGAATTCAGCCCATGACTGGCTGACGCAAACGTGCTCAGGGAGAGAACGTGCCCTGGTAGGCCGCAGCGCAGCGACCTCCTCCAAGCTGGCCCCACATTCTAGAGGAACTCACGGATGAGGGCAGCACCCCACAGTCTGCTCACTGTCTACACAGAGCAGCAGTTTGGAGACAATTTAGATCTAAAGCGCAGCAGACACAGAGGTGGTGCTGAAGATGGTGTGGATATGATGGTGGCAGAGGTTACGTGACGGTGAGGGCGTCTTTAATGCCACTGCAGTGTATATGGACGGATGGTTAAAATTATGAAATATGTGTATATCATGGTAAAAGGGAGAGAAACATGTTTTTCTAGTGTCATAGAATTCCTTTGCTCTCTGTGTCCTCTGTTGTCATATGTCACTGTAATTATTATACAGGTCATTTTGGCGTGTGCTGGAATTCTGGTTTTTGCTGCCCCTGCCCTGCCCTCCCGCGAGGTTCATGTGCTCTCTGTGGTTTTGGCAGGTGCTGGAGGCTTTGTGGTGCAGCCTGTTCATGGGCCACACGGCACTTCCCTTTTTTGAGGGGAGGATTTAGGTTACTTCTGTTCTTTTGCTTTATACAAAAGTCTCCCTCAACAGCCTTTTGCCTGCAGAATCCTTTTGAGCTCGGGGAGCCAGGTGGGAGGAGAGAACATGCCCTGGGTGGCTTCCTTTAAGAATATTATTTTTAGAGTCCATAGGACAGGACATGTGTGTACCAGTTTTACAGTGAAAATGGTCCTTTCTTGTCCCCTATCCCTGGGGGTAACTTGGGTTGCTAGGGAAAGAGGAAGGCTTTGTAGGGGAGGGTGGAGAGCGTGTCCTGCTTTGGGCCTGCTGAGCATGCCTGGGCTGAGATGGGGTGCTGAGGGGGGCATTTGGTGGCTGCGAGGCTCCCACAGGACAACTTTCCGTGTGTGTTTCCTTCCTCGGCAGGCTGGGCTGTGGCGCAGGAATATGTTTCTTTTGAGTGAGTGAGGTCCCTAGCGAAGTGCAGAGCACGCGCACTGGGTTACCAGCTCAGGTAGAGAAGCGGAGTGCGATTTCCACTCCTCAAGGCCCCAGGGGATCACCTTGATGGTAAAAGTGAAAGAGGAACCAGAATTCCTGAGAGAACCGTGTGTGCTTGTCTGTTTCTCCCCCCGCCCCCCATTAGGGTTTGCCCTCCGTGTCATCAGAGAGTTTGATGACCAAAGAGTGAGCAGGATGCAGGTGGATGTCGCACGGGCAGAAACAGGTGTCCCTTCTTCCCTTCCTCTTGCAGCCTCCAGCGCGGTGTTTGACATCCGAGTAGTCAACGTCAGCAGCACGGGCATGGTGCTGGAGTGGCGGAACACCGACGGCGCCTCGGAATACGTCTACCACGTGCTGATCCAGTCTGGCTTCAACTCGAGCGAGAGGAACAGCTCTGAGAAGACCGTCTCGCTGTGGGGCCTCCTCCCGGGCACTCCCTATAACATCACCATCTCTCCTGAGGCGGACCAGGTCCGGGGCAACTCCAGCACCATCTCACAGTACACGCGTGAGTCTCTTGGGCGTCCTGCTTGTCACCAGCAGGCAGCGTGGTTAAGTGACTGGGTAGGGATGTAGGGCCTGGGATCCGAGTGGCCTTGAAGCTGTGGCTGTGGAAAGTGCCAGCTTCAGCGCAGGCCTGCCATCCTGGGGGGGCGGGGGGGGGGCTGCGGTCAGCGCTGTGTGAACCCGAAGTCGTCCTCTGAGGCAGGAAGTGAGTCAGCCAGCGGGAATGGAGAACCTGAGCGTCCCCTTCATGGCTCGGCTGTGCCAGCTAGGGGACAGTCACGCTGCTGGGTGGCACTGTGAGGTCCCGCTCAGGAGGAGGAGCCTTGCCTGCAGCAGCGAGGCAGATGTGCACCAGCATCTAAGCTAAATAAGCGGTAGAGGTGTTTGTACTATGCTTTGAGCATATGTTTCTCTTCATCAGTCAGTTTTACCAGCAGAAAAGTATAAAAATGAGGTATATAAAGGAAAGCCATATTAATATGCTGAGCTATAAAAGGCTCGGGTCAGCAACTTTTGCGGATAACCCACTACTATTGTGGACTGGTGGATTGTTTTGCTGAATTCACGCACCTGTAGTATTTATTTATTTATTTATTTATTTTGTACTTTATTTTTTTATTTTTTATTTTTTATTTTTTTTCAAAATTTTATTGATAAACAGCAATGAGACAGTTTCAAATCAAATTGGAATACAGTTTCAACAAATGATACACTGCATATATTCTTCTTAGTGGTTAATTGCTGTACAAGATGTGGACTTGAGATCCTATTTACAAACACCATTAGAACAAAACATTCTATTCATTAAGAGAATGCAACTATATATCTATCCTAACCACTTTGAATACACAGATACAAAATGGACATTCATCGGTATACCCCATTTGTTCTAAGTTCCGTTATTGAATATTACAGGTGTGTAAACTCAGCAAAATATTTTAAAAGAGTCCAGTAGCCCATTACAGCATTGGGTCTTCTGTTTAACTGGCAATGTCAGAAATTATTGACCTGAGTCCCCCACAGTTCAACATAACAACATGGCTTTACTTCCTATAGTTCGTCTTCATACTTTTCTACTGGATGGTTAAGACCAAGGTAAAGCAGGACCTATGCAACAAGAGTTGTAGCTTTTTGGTCTGAGAAGGTCAGTGAAATCCCCTCAGGATTTATCCTGAGATCCTGTACCTCAGATTGTAGAGCCTTTGTCAGTGCAGCCATGTGGATGAGTCACGGCCATTGCTTGGCCAGTGTGCTCTCTGTGAAAGCCTGAGAGAACGTCTTCTCCCCATGTGACTCTCCTTAGGCACACTCTACGTCATCAATCACTTTCCTCTTTGGCCCCCTAATCTCCTTGATCAGAAAATTTGGGACACTACCGAGGTACATGACATTACAGTACAGGGCATTTGTAGTATTTAGATGCCAATAGAAGACCCATCTCTGACAGGACTAAGCAAAAGAAGGGGATACAAAGGAAGGACCATTTTATATTTGTGTATACAGAACAGTTGGGATAGAATGCAGCTACTTTCTCTTAATTCAGTGTGAAGAAAGATTTGTAGTAATAGTGTTTGGACAGGATATCCTGTCTGCTTCTTGTACTATGGATAATCACTAAGAAGATAACAATGTACAATGTATTAATTATTGAAACTGTCCTATTAATCAGCTTTGAAACTGTCTCATTGACATTTGTTTCTCAATAAAATAAAATAAAAAAAATAAAGAGAAAAAACAGGAAATTGTATCTTGAAATGTATAGGTCAGATAAACCTAATGTAGTAAAAGAAGCCAGAAGCTCTCTGTGGTGGTGCATGCCTCTAATCCCAGCACCCTGGAGAAGCTGAGGCAGGAAGATCACAAGTTTGAGCCTCACGATAATTAAGAGGGCTGAAGATGTAGCTTAGTATGAGAAGAACAGCTCTGGGCTCTATGCCCAGTACAGGGATAAAAGAAAAAAAAAATAGTGAAAAGCTTTAACTCTTTTCAAATTTAACCTGCATAATTGTTTTCTGAATATCTTTTTGGGAGGTCTTCTATTTTTTGAGCCAGCAAATGTTAGCTTATACTTTCTAAAAGCAACCAAGATGACTTTGAACATAGTAAATAAAGCTGTCCTGGGTTTCAAACTTTGTGTTTTTTCTTTGGCCTTTTGGAGACAGGTCTTGCTGTGTAGTGCAGGCTGGCCTTAAACTCGCTTTGTAGCCTGGGCTGGCCTCAACCTTGTGGCAGTCCTCCTGCCTCAGCCTCTGGAGTGTGGGGTGACAGGTGTGTTCTTGACTTACTATTATTACTTTTCAATCTAGGGCCCAGCAGTGTGTCCAGTATTCACGTAAACCCCAACGCCACGGAGGCTTGCCTGAGCTGGGAGAGCCTGGACGAAGCCTCCCCTACCTACTCCTACCACCTTCTCTTCTTGGAGGACGGAGATCCCGGGGGTGCCATGTGGAACATCACTGTCACTGGAGACACACATGAGATAGTCCCTGGATTAGTACCAGGCTCACCTTACACCGTGAAGATCTTTGCAGAGGTCGGGGGCGTTGAGTCCCTGGTCCCTGGTGAGGCGAGCTTCTGCACGGGTGAGTGGCCCAGCACTGACCGCAAGCCTTTGGTGTGTAGGCCGGGCTAGGCAGTGTGCACGTTGCCCTCCTTGGCTCCTGGTGGGTCAGATAGCATTGATAAATAGGTGTGGGCCAAGGCTACTGCCAAGGAGAGGACAAGGGACGTAGTGAATGGGAAGGAAGCAGGGTGTGTTTCTGGGCTGCCCAGGAAGGCTCAGTAAAAGGTAACTGTGAGCACAGATCAGTGGACAGAAGCCAGTGTGTGCAGATGAGGGTGCTGGTTGTTGTGGTGAGGTGGCCGTTGTGAAGGCCCCGAGGCTGCGGGGAGCAGGCCTGGGGAGCAGGCAGGGGAGCCTCAGTCCACAGAGCTTGCCCTCCTCCCGGCCTTGCACCAGGCCATGGGCTCAGGCTGTTGGGAATCAGCCTCCCTGGGGGTGTCTGAGCAGACGTGTGGCCCTGGTCTTGCATGTTAGTAGCCCCTTGTCACCCCTGGTTACTGAGGACCTGGTACCTGGGGTTTGGTCCCTGCTGTCTGTCTTCGCCGTAGTTCCTGAGGCCCACAGCAGGGGCAGCACTCAGACCAGCATCCAGGTGAGTGTGAGCAGGGCCTGGGCTAGGAGCTGCTGGTGGAGACACCAAGCCCATGAGCATGAGAACTGCAGTAGGTTGTCCCTTGGCCTAGTGTTCTGTGACATTAAAGATGGCATCTTTCCCAGTGTACATGGCATGACAGAAAACATGGTGAATGTGTAAATCACATAATTTATTACAGTAAATGACATGTTTATGAATCCTCCCAACTTTGAATACACTCATCCCATCGTTCTTGCCATTGTCTGAAGAAGGTCTGGGAGTCCTCTATCCTGGCTGCCTCGATGTCCTGAATTGAAAATGTTCACCATTTATGGTCATTTTGACTTTGGGGAAGAGCCGGTAGCTCCACAGTGCCAGACCCAGTCCCTCAGGTGGATGAGGACACAGTTTTAACCAGTCCGCCTTTTTGTTGGATGGCCCTGGGCAAAAGCATTCACCAGATTTTTGATCATATCTCATAAAGGCACTCAGGAAAGAGCACTCCAGAGCTGCTTCCAAAAGGGGCAAGAAGGGCTGGTCAGATAGCTCAGTGGACTAAAACACCTGCTTAGGCAGAGCATAGCGTCCGGGGTCCGATCCCCAGTACGCTGTGCCCTGCCCCCAGGGTGCACAGAGGTGGTGATTGAGACTGGGCATGGTGGCGTGCGCCTGTAATCCCAGCGCTTGGGAGGCTGAAAACAGGAGAATCAGTATGAGTCCAATCCATGTTGTGAGACCCTGCAGACCCTGTACCAATACATTAAAAAAAAAAAAAAAAGAAAAGAAAGGGGCAAGAACTGTGGGATAAGTGTGTTCAAAGCGAGGGGAAGGCTTTTGAGGGGGCTTGTGGCCACGTGTCTTTTACTGTGATACCTTGTTAGAAACTTAAAGACCCATAGTACAATTTGATTGCCTCTGGTATCCGCAGTTTCTCTTTGACATCATTATGGTGTTGGCCATGAGCACAGCTATTGCCCAACATGCTGTTTCCAAGAAAAAGACTAATATCATTTCACCCCAGATTATCAGCATGTTGTGTGCATAGACATTGCCCCAAACTTGGATTTAGAAGACCCAGGATCTGGTTCTGGATCCAGGTCAGCTTTCATGCCGTACCTGTTCAAGCCTCAGTTGACTCAGTTGCCCCATCTCCAAAGTGGGGCAGTGCGAAACTTCCCTGGCCCCATGGGTTGCCAGGAGGCCCTAGATGGGATGGTATTGGCGAAGACGTGGTCCTGAGGCCGTGTCTACTGGGCATCTTGCTTTGTGGCTGACACCCAGCGCCTCCTCCACCCACCCTGCACCTGTGTCCTCAGCCCCTGAGTCTCGAGTGTCCACAGCCTCAGGATGGCCATGCTTGCCTTGCAGAGTCAGCCCCCGTGGTCTCCTTCCAGTGCCATGTGGTCCCGCGGAACTCCAGCTTGGTCCTGACGTGGGGCCGCCCTCCGGGCAACCACACCGGCTTCCAGCTGGAGCTCAGCAGCGGGGCCTGGGAGGTGAAAAGCCTGGAGCACGGCTGCCTAGACAACAGCACTGACTGCAGGGTGGAAGTCCCACATTTGAATTTCTCCACGTGGTACAACATCAGCATCGCCACCGAGTCCTGTGGGGCTAGAGCAGCCGCCGCCCACAGCACCTGCCTCACCGGCATCACAGGTGGGCCCTGGGGTACGCACCTGGCTGGGACCACTTCCGGCTTTCTTTCCCCTGAGATACTTCTCTTTAGGGGCACAGTCCAGGACCCCTGTAGAAACCCAGGCTGAAAAAGCAGACTCTCCATTCTGGAAGGTGCTGCTGCTGTACGGAATAACTCATCATTTTATCCTTTTAAGTAAGGGTTTCCTTTACTGCTCTCAGAGATGATGTTTTTATAGAAACATCCAGCTGTACACAAAGAGAAAGGCGGAGGGATGGAATCCACACACCAGCCCAACATTCTAGTGCTTGTTTGATTTACATTCTCTCCTCCCTTCCTTTAGGGGTACTTTGAAACAAGTTCCGACCCAGCTCTGTTTTTATTTGTAAATATTTCAGCATGTTTGATTCAAAGGCAGGGGCTCCTTTTTCCTTCCTTTCTCCCTAATATTGAAGCATTAACATCACCATTGTCCTTCAGAATGGAGTAAATGACCAGATATTCAGCCAGCTTGCTCATTTTGCCTGCATTCGTATTAAGATAGATGCTCTGTGCTGCTTTGGGGAGTAGGACATCATTTATTGCTCAGGGCTTAGTTCGTCTTTTTACGTCCTGTTCTTTTTTAAACTTTTTATTGGTACATGCCTGCAGTACATAGAGATCACATTTCTCGTGGGTGCTGGTGCATGCACGCCCCCCCACGTACTGGGCGTCAAACTCAGGACCTTGCACTTGCCAGGCAGGTGCTTATACTGTTGAGCCATGTCCCCTGCCTGCCTGCCTGCCTGCCTGCCTCCCTCCCTCCCTCCTTTCCTCCCTCCCTCTCTCTCTCTCTCTCTCTCTCACTCACTCACACACAACTTAATTCTTTTTTTTTTTTGTTGTTGTTGTTGTTTTTGAGACAGGGTCTCAGATTGACCTCGCACTTGTGGCAGGATCTTCCTGCTTCGGCTCCTGAGTGCTGGATTGCAGCCATGAGCCACCATGCCTGGACCAGATTTTTAATTAGGGTAGCCGTGTATTCTATTTTGGAATTGGAAAGTGTGGGGCTGCGTCCTCCGCACCACTCACAGTCCATCTGAGCTTTAGGGCTGTTTTTTTCTGTGCATGTACAAAATGCCACTGGAATTTTGAGGCAAAATGGCATTGAATTTGTGGATGACTTTGAGAACATTTTAATAATCTTAATTCTTCCCACCCGTGAACATGGGATGTCTTTTTTTCTTGTGTCTACTTTCATTTCTTTTATTAATGTCGTAGGATTTTCAGTGTACAAGTGATTCACCTCCTTGACTGTGTTCTAATTATGCATTATTTTTTTTTATTTTTTTATTTTTTCACAAATAGGACTTTATTTATCACTATTAAAAATCTGGATCTTAAACGGACTCTTGCACTGGTGGTTCATGTCCATCAGCTTGTTCAACTTTAGCTCCAGTCTCATCTCCAGTAGCCTTTCCAGAGCTGCTACCTTCACCATGAAGCTCCATGAGTTTTCCCAATTCAAACTTGGGCTTCTTCAGCATTTTTACTTTTCTGACGAAGACATCATGAAGAGGGTAGATAGGTTGGCAAGCCTTTTCTATGTCTTTCCCAATACTGTCTGGAATCAGTTTATTGACCACTTCCTTCAAGTCATTTGTCTGCACCTCCTGGGTCATGATTTCCATCATCTTCTTCCGAATCTGGCGGGCCTGTTGGTGCTGAGTGTAAGAGGTCTTCCGTATCTGATTGTTGCGTTTTTTAGTAAAGCCAACACAGAACAGTCGAAGCAAATAACCATCGGTAGTCTTGACATCAACATGAGCTTCGATCATGGTCTGCCATTTTTCGACCATGGAACACATTTTGTCCCGGGTGAGGTCCATGCCATGGAAGTTAGGCAGT